GATGTTATTAAATTTAGTGCAACTTATTATAAAAACTGTTCAAAATGACCGCCGTTGTTTCTACAATAAAGGTCAATTCAGCGAAGAAACTTAAAGGACATCATTTGCAGTTCTGGAGGACAATTTTTTAAAACATTTATGCAATTTGGATATGCCTTCACAACTCTTCTTCAGTGTTAGATGTGGAAGCATACACTGTTGTTTTCAGATTGCCCCAAATAGTCGCAAGGTGTTAAATCTGGTGAACGTACAGACCAGTTAATAGGAGCATTCTACCGATCCATCGACGAGGGAATCTTTGGTTCAGATACTATCGGACATTTACAGTGAAATGTAGTGGAGCACATGTTAGCTCTTAGTAATAACGGCACACCTTCCAATAACTCGGGAAATTTGTTTTGCAAAAATTTAAAATAAAATCCCCCATGCGTAGAATAACAGGGCTAATAACAATGCTATCAATTTGATTGTTTTTTTTTCTAATTATTTGAATAAAATTAGGCACATTATAAATAACTCTAATTCGTCGTAAGTGTGTATCCATATCGAAAAATGAAGTAATAGGTGGTATATCTTATCGTCGTAAACACTCATTAAGAATTGTCAGGCACAATGACTTAAAGATCAGGCTGAAATTACAGTCAAACTACAAAATCACTGCCTACTAGCACATGGTTAAGTATTATAATATGGATGGCAGGATAATGTAGACATTAAAAAAATATTTCTTTTTACCCAAACCGCTCATTTAATCAAAATTCTACAAGAGGCCGAAAAACTTCCAAATCGTATCACCTATCTGATAAAAAATAATTGTCATTATTGCCTGAAAGAGGAAAAGTTATGAACGGATATTATCACCATACATCAATTTTGTAGGAGTTGTAGGTTTTAAAAAACACTGTGTATAACACCAAAATCTGTAGATTAAAAGTCCACACCCCAAAAATAATCAAAATCGATTAATAGATATTCGAGTTATTTACAAAATTCAATAAATTTTCACCAACTTTGAGGCCTTCTAGCGGCCAAACTAAACGATTTCTATTATAGGTGAATTAGCCTAGATCTGCCTATTTTGAGTCCACGAATCTGTGGTCTTCCATTGTACACGTTGTTATGGGACGCCCTGTATATATGTGTACCTATCCTATATGTATTTATACATTTTACATCTACTGTATTTTTTGTCGACAATATGTTTTTACTGGTATATTTCCATGTTTAATAATTATTATTATTGATTCTATTTAATGATATACATTTTCAAATACGTTGTGTCTTGTATGACTACATTAGTTTTGTACGAGGTTTTGTATCCTGTAACTGGACATTTGCCTGTTGAATATCTAGTGAAATAAATATACATATTTTATATGTTCTTACATGTAAATCATTTTAGCCGATTTCTTACTGAAAACAATTATATGAGTAAGATATTAACAACAGCAAACTAATCACAGATTAGTAACAGGTTTTATAGATTTGTAGTTCCCGTCACTCGATTTAAAGTAGCTCCTCTATTGACTCATTCGCGTACTATACAGGATTCTTCGCGGTAAATGGCCTATTAAACGTTTCAGAGAAATCAAAGATAATATGGTTCTGAAATTTCGATTTCAGGAGTTACTATGCTTTCATCAAAGAAACTAATGTCATCAACGTAACGCTTCCGGTTATACCGGAAGTAGCTGTCAACTTCGTTATTTGGACAATGGTTTACTTGGTACAATTTTCTTCAGATGATTTTATGATCTTTGTGTATCCCGAAAAGTAAGTGAAAGCTTCCAGAACAAAGAAGGTTATAAGGAATTTTAGAAACGCTTGCATCTATCAAAATTTTTATAAAATGTCGATTACCTCGAAAACGGTTAGATTTAGGTACAGTAAAATGACTTATTTTTAATTTATCTTGTCGCTAATGCAATAATATATAGGGTGTTCCATTTAAAATAACGAAGTTGACAACTACTTCCGGTATAACAGTTGATGACATTAGTTTCATTGAAAAGAGTATATCTGATATCCTCCGAAATCAAAATTTTAGAGTTATATTATCTTTGGTTTTTCTGAAATGTTTAATAGGCCACTTACCGTGAAGAACCCTGTATAATACCTTCACTAGTTGTGTACTTTAAAATTCATGTTAATTATTTTAATTTTAAATATACAGGTATCCATACTTTTTTTTAAAAAAGTCCCAAAAACGCGTATTTGCAAAGTAACTTTTTCAAAATTTTTAATTGTGAAATTAGTAATATTATTTTATTTGAAATCTAGTAACACCACATTATTCTACACCTCTTAGAATGTCCTAGTAGGAAAAATGAAAGTTCCCCGTTTTTTTTTTTCGATTTTAATGAAAAAGAAAAAAAAAGTAAAAAACAAAAAAATATTGAAATAAAAGAAAATAGGCAAAAACTGTTTTTAAAATTTCATATAATTTTAAAAATGAATTTATTTTTATCAAAACTTGTATGGGGCATTTTGAGGAATGCAAAAAAAATATGAAGGTATTAAATTTCAGATAAATAAATTGCTAATACAATTTTTCGCTTATTATCAGGCTGAAAATTTGTAATTTTGAAAAAGCTGTAGTTTTCAAATATGTGCGTTTTTATTTGATAAAAGTTTTCCATTTGTTTTTTACTTATAATATCAAATTGTACGCATATAAATCGAAACACCGTGTAATAGGTTAGTTTTTCTACCGCCTACTAAGGAAATAAAATAAAGTTTTACACTCATTAGACTTATTACAACTATTATTATAAGAACTTGCATGACTTTTGGAATGCAAAAAATATATACCTACATATTTTTATATTATCAATCTGTATTAATAAACAATTACGTTTATGATTTGAATTCATACAAAGTTTATCCTTATCGAGACAATGATTATCACAATTCTATTGTTATTTCGCCACTTTGATTCTGCAGTTTCATATTCTCTAAAACCTAAAATAAAAAATTTAAAATATTTATACCTTATTATGACAAAATTTTATTATTTTAATCTTTTATATGGGTATCCAAAATAAATGTTTGCAACATGCAATTGTTAGCCAGATCTGTTGAAATCCTCGAGTATACAGGGTGATCCATTAACGGTATCGAGCGGCTGTATATAGGAAACTAGACGTGCTACGACTATAGGGTAAAAAATCTATTAACAAATACAGCCTAAAGAAATTGATTTAAAATATTTTCAAGTTTGTAACTTCACCGCTAGGGGGCGCAACTGCTATAGTGTTACAGAAAATTGTCGTTTTTTCGAAATCTCGCTTATATAACCTAAGTTGTGTGGGTACACATGCCACAAGTTACCCATTTTTAACCATTACGTCAAAAGCGCCGCCGGACGCAAAAACCTTTCAGGAAGAGTCTACGGGCGGGCTGCTGGCGCCGGCGACCAGATGCGTATCCATATACCTACGACTGACTCCACACACAAGGCACTCTCCAACGAACACTCACCCCGTCAATACGTCTTTTTCTGTACAACTTAGTTTTCAATAAAATACTTTATTATTACCGTTGAGAGAGCGTTATATTCTTGCTGTACAGCGAAAGCAACCGTCAGTTGAAAATACACTTTTTTAGATACACTGTTATAGCCTTCATAAGTTTTGTTTGAACTTTTTTTGTTATTACCATAGCAACGGCAGTATAAAGGACGCCATTTTGAAATTGTCATAGCTTCTAAATGCCTTAATCGATATCAAACGACGGCTCACTTTAAAGAACTATTGATAAAATTTATTTTTATGGTATGGGAATAAAAATATTCTTTTCCTGTGCAACGGTAGACGACGCTAATCAGAAAGTTTTGTAATTGTAAAAAAATTAAATGCAGCGATATAGATTTTTATTCATGGCTCGATAGACAATTTATTAAGGAAAAGAAATACACAAACCGGAGGTCGAGATATTTCTTCCTTTTTAAAGATATTGCTAATAGTGAAGTTGTTCCAGAACATCGACCTTTATTTAGTCCTCTAAATAACATTGACATGGTTCAAGCCCAAATTAAATTGTAAAACTATATCAAGCTTGCCTTTAAAAAAGTACTTGCTTTATTTTGAATTGTTTTTCTTAACTACAATGTTTCATATTTTTATTAATTCCAAATATCTGAGTACTCGTATCTATAAAGATTATTGTTTCCATAACAAGGCAGGCTATGCCTTATGAAAATAGACAAATGAAAAATTATCTCAAAATAAATGTCAGCTCTTGTTACATTGTGATATTTGTGTGAGAAAAGTAATTGTGAAAAAGGAAAATGCCCTTTACGAATGAGGAAGCATATGATATGTTGGCAGTTTATTTTCAAAGTTTGGAAAATGTCGTTATAGCCTCATGAAAATACGCTTTGCGATACCCATTTAGAATACATCACTCCAGAAAAGTATTTCAACGTTTAGCTAGACTTTTAAGACAAATTGGACGAGTTCAACCACTACATTCTGAAACTCTTGCAGAAACCGATTTTGATCAACGGTTAACTTACTGCTATTGGCTTAAAAATATAATTCAAGAAAATCCTCACTTTTTAATAGTGATGGGATCATCCGAATGAAAAATAATCGAAACCTTCCGAGTATTCCAATCCAATGACCAATCGGTCATTACTCGAATCACATAATCAGTCGATTTGAGAAGCTGATGCTAACCGCGGTCGAATTTGTTAACACACATATAAAAATTCCACAACGTGTACACTAAAAATAAGTTACTCTCTCCCTTAATGAAATCAATAGCCTTTTTAGCAAAAATGTATTCTTTAAAGTCCCGTTAATTGTTAAGTTACGTTTCTTTAATTAACGTACTTGATAGATAATCTCGATTTTTAGATACAAATAAAATACTACCAATAAAACTTCACGGCAATAAATATAAAGTTACAAAAATATCTTTCTACTGCTAGATAACAATTCAATCAAATGTGATTCCACCCATAAATCGCAATAAAATAATTGTTTTTTACTATTTCACATAAGTATATAAAGCGTCAGTTTACTATAAATCTATAGTGTATTCCAATTCACTAACGAGAGAACATGGTTAAATTGGTTATTTTGGTCCTAGCTCTGGCTTTAGCGCCAAGTAGGTTTATTTTTGGATTATAAATTAAAATATTTTGACAACTTTTAATTTTGTCTGTTTATCTTATTTATAATTTTAAATATAACTATATATACACCTAAACAGGAAAATACGTAATTACCTATTATTTATTTTTTAGGCATTCCTGCCTTCAGGATTGCAGCGCAAGACGAAGTAGTAGAACCAGCTTTGTTGCCGGGTGTCTTGGATCAAATTCCTTCTATTGGCAACCAACCTTCCTTCCCACAAATACCAGAAGTAGAAGATGAAGATGCGGATATTGGAAACCAACCTTCTTTCCCAGAAGTACCAGAAGTAGAGGACGAAGATGGTGACATTGGTAACCAACCATCCTTCCCCGAAATACCAGAAGTAGAAGATGAGGACGGTGATATTGGAAACCAACCGTCTTTCCCAGAAGTACCAGAAGTAGAAGATGAAGACGGTGACATAGGAAATCAACCTTCCTTCCCAGAAATACCAGAAGTAGAAGATGAAGATGGTGATATTGGCAACCAACCATCCTTCCCAGAAGTACCAGAAGTAGAAGATGAAGACGGCGACATTGGCAACCAACCATCCTTCCCAGAAGTACCAGAAGTAGAAGATGAAGACGGTGACATTGGTAACCAACCATCCTTCCCAGAAGTACCGGAAGTTGAAGACGAAGATGGTGATATTGGTAACCAACCATCCTTCCCAGAAGCACCAGAAGTTGAAGACGAAGATGGTGACATTGGTAACCAACCCTCCTTTCCAGAAGTACCAGAAGTAGAAGACGAAGATGGTGACATTGGTAACCAACCATCTTTCCCAGAAGTCCCAGAAGTAGAAGACGAAGACGGTGACATCGGTAACCAACCATCATTCCCAGAAGTCCCAGAAGTAGAAGACGAAGATGGTGACATTGGTAACCAACCATCATTCCCAGAAGTACCAGAAGCAGAAGATGAAGATGGCGATATCGGCAATCAACCATCCTTCCCAGAAGTACCAGAAGTAGAAGATGAAGAGGGCGATATCGGCAATCAACCATCCTTCCCAGAAGTACCAGAAGTAGAAGACGAAGACGGTGACATCGGCAATCAACCATCCTTCCCAGAAGTACCAGAAGTAGAAGAGGAAGACGGTGACATTGGTAACCAACCATCATTCCCAGAAGTACCAGAAGTAGAAGACGAAGACGGCGACATCGGCAATCAACCATCCTTCCCAGAAGTACCAGAAGTAGAAGATGAAGATAGCGATATCGGCAATCAACCATCCTTCCCAGAAGTACCAGAAGTAGAAGACGAAGACGGTGACATCGGCAATCAACCATCCTTCCCAGAAGTACCAGAAGTAGAAGACGAAGACGGCGACATCGGTAATCAACCATCCTTCCCAGAAGTACCAGAAGTAGAAGATGAAGAGGGCGATATCGGCAATCAACCATCCTTCCCAGAAGTACCAGAAGTAGAAGACGAAGACGGTGACATCGGCAATCAACCATCCTTCCCAGAAGTACCAGAAGTAGAAGATGAAGAGGGCGATATCGGCAATCAACCATCCTTCCCAGAAGTACCAGAAGTAGAAGACGAAGACGGTGACATCGGCAATCAACCATCCTTCCCAGAACTACCAGAAGTAGAAGATGAAGAGGGCGATATCGGCAATCAACCATTTCCCAGAAGTACCAGAAGTAGAAGACGAAGACGGTGACATCGGCAATCAACCATCCTTCCCAGAAGTACCGGAAGTAGAAGATGAAGATGGCGACATCGGTAATCAACCATCCTTCCCAGAAGTACCAGAAGTGGAAGATGAAGATGGCGGCATTGGCAATCAACCATCCTTCCCAGTAGTACCAGAACTTCCAGAAGTACCAGAAGTAGAAGATGAAGATGGCGGCATTGGCAATCAACCATCCTTCCCAGTAGTACCAGAACTTCCAGAAGTGCCAGAAGTAGAAGATGAAGAAGTTCAAGAAAATCCATGCAACGCCTGCTTCGAATACATGAACAGTTTGATTGAACAACTTAACAATCAGATTATCTTTTAAAGATTATCTGTCTTTGTCATATGATGTAAGAGGAACATATATATTTTTCCAATAAATATGATTGAATAATTCAAAAACTTTCTTAGATACACAATAATGAAACATTCATGTTCTTTGTAGTAAAGTCCACTTCCTATATACAATATATTGATAAAATGGAGTTGTTTCTTATTCTTCTATAAGACATCCGTACATATTCACCATAATTAAAATTTTAAATATTATTTACCTGTTTATTAATTTTAACTGCAATCTAAAATTCTAACTGTGGTTGACTCCAAACAATATTTGACTCAATTCAAAATAAAATGATATTCAGGTTTAAATTATTGTTTAAGTATAAATTTTAAATTAAATTAATGTTAAAATCTAAGTAACATTTTTTTATAATTACCTATGAATAGGCAAAAATTATAAAAAATTCGAAAAGAAATGAAAAATAAATTTTCTATGCAAAATTAATAATAGTCCTAAACGGAAATATATCAACAGTTTGATTTCAGAACTTAACAACAGAATTATCTTCTAAACATTTTCTCTTTGTTATATAAATTAAAAAATATACGTTTTATTCGACAGCATATTCTATTTCTTTAATAAGATCACGCCAAAATCAGTTGACTACCATTTTATCTAGCAGGTTGGAAAAATAAATCCAGGCCTACATAATATCGACAAGATGGTAATCTACAGTAATTTTTTCGGTGTACAATAATTACATAATGAAAACAATGAAACCCTAGCTGATGGAATAAAATACTATATGCAGAGTGTCCCCAGAATTAATGAACGCGTTCTATATTGTTTATTTATAAATTTATATGAAAAAAAAATTAACAAGGCAGTTATGGAGGATGGATCTTGGCTGAAATTTCCTTCTGCTATAATTATAAAAGAAAAGCATTGCTGCAAAGCTAGTATCATTACATTATTTTTTTAACTAGCTAGATTTAAACGGGAAAGTATGAACAAATAAAATTACTGAAAGTTGCATAAAGACAATGACCATAGGGAGGAGTTATCGAAAAAATATTATCTTATCTACAAAATCATGTTCTTGTCTACAAAAACTTGTCTTTGAAATGACTATTGGAGTTTATATTTGTTCATGTACATTAAGAATTCGAGAAAGATTCCTGAAGTCAAAATAGCGTATCATACATCTTAATGAAAATTCCTTAGGTCGATATAGTAGCTCGATCTCAACAGTATAACAAAGTTTAAAAATATTGTGTACCTAACTAAACCTCATTGATAAATACAACCAGTTTTTTTGTTCCCATTAAACCACTTTTGTAGAAATAATTCATATGAGTACAATACAAGTTCATACACATACAATAAGTAAGTAAAAATGCTTAATTACAAGAAACAGTACTGTAAAAAAGAAAATTTACTATTAAGAAAAGAAATATATACAACAAAAATATTGTGAAATGAAGAAAATATTAAAAAGGTTAAAACAGATTAGTAAATAAATGGTTATAAAAGTGCAAATCATACGTAATCTGTAACATATGTATATTGGAAATGTTCATATCACACACATCAAACAATAAATTTTTAGACGTCATATTATATGCAGGAGATATTATTAACATAAGGTTAGTTCTAACGGATTGGCAGTCAAATATTGCATAGAATCTAATCGGCAGAAGCACCAAAAAACCAATGTGAGAAAAACATATGCAATAGGTTGTATGTATTGAATCGATGTTATTGCTGTAATAGGTGTTATATCGATACCAAATTCAAGAGCAATCCTCAGAAGAACTGTATCGATGGAGCATCTGCGAATTAACATGGTAACAGTTGCATAAAGACCAGATTAGATTTTAAAGTATAAATAACACAACCCCACAAAAAAAAGTGGTAGGTCCGAAAGACAAGACCATGGTATCCGTATGGTTTTGGGGTCGCTGAATCCGAATCCGGTGTTCGTTTGACACGATTAGCTCTGGTATAAGGTCAGTTCAAGGTCAAATGTAGAAAATCAATTGTCAACAAATTAAACCTATGTACCTATACGTTTTTGGAGTCGCCGAATCCGAATCCGGTGTCCGTTTGACGCGATTAGCTCTGGTTTAAAGTCAGTTCAAGGTCAAATGTAGAAAATCAATTGTCAATAAACAAAACTTACGTATCTATACGTTTTTGGAGTCACTGAATCCGAATCCGGTGTCCGTTTGACTCAATCAGATCTGGTTTAAGTTCACTTCAAGGTCAAATGTAGAGAATCAATTGCCAACAAAGTAAATCTACATATCTATAAGTTTTTGGGGTCATCCGAATCTGATGTCCGTTTGATTTAATCAGATCTGAGTTGGGGTCAGTTCAAGGTCAAATGCAGAGAATCAATTGAAAATAAAGTAAACTTACATATCTATACGTTTTTGGGGTCGTTGACTCCGAATCTGATGTCCGTTTAAACCGATCAGGTCTATTAAATACTTTCTAATAGAAAAAGATCAATCAACATACGAAAGATAGGTACTTATATAAATATTTTGGTTTTAAACCAAAGTGAAATATTTGATTGGGTTTGAGCAGAGAGAAAGGTTTCACCAAGATATTAAAGAAGGAGGGGGTGGCAATGAAACTATCACTGATATTGCTAGTGATACTAGTGATGACGAATATATTCCATATCACTTTGTGACGTTGTGAAAAATACAGGAACAATATCACAAAAAAAAGTAAATGATGTTCGAGATTTGGGCCTGGCAAAGAATGGAGCAGATCATGGCTAAAAAAAATACTAAACACGCGGGAAAAGTGAAAGCTTTTTATTATCAATGCAGAAATAAGGAATATTTTTCTAACGATGAAGAATTCTCCTTAGGTTACTATAATGATATTGTTGGAGTGTCGGTACCAAGGTAGATCGGATATAAACATGTTAGACGATTACTGCTGATCGTTAAAACGAGATTTAACATCAAAGTCGAGAAAACTTAAAATTGACAGCAAAACAGTTCGACACCACAATCGAGAGTAGTAGTCTCGATACCATAATAGTGGGATATAGTGATTCCATGTGATTCATCAAGGCAAAAAACCTCCTCTAGAAAATCTGTTCTCAAGAATCTCAAACGACACGGACTGACTGTGTAAATTAATGTATATAAAGCATTAACGGACACATGGGTTTAAAGCTTACTTAATTAGGCTTATTAATACTAGAATTTTGTCACGTCGAAACAATTAAGTCGAGAGTCACGGGCTCAGAGTTACGTTTTCTTTCTTTAATCTTATTTGCGACTCAAATTTTAATACCCATAAATGCTTACTTTGATTGAGTTTAGAACTTGAGAGTATTTAGCATATCTGATCAAATAGACCCCGAATTAGGATTCAGTGACCCCAACGTATAGATATATTGCTTTACTTTGTTTGTAATTGATTTTCTACATTTGACCTTGAACTGACCTTAACCCAGACCTGGACGGGCCAAACGAACATTGGATTCGGCTTCAGCAACATCAAAAACGTAGGAATATGTAGGATTACTTTGTTGGCAATTGATTCTCTACATTTTACCTTGAACTGACCTTAACCCAGATCTTATAGGGTCAAATGGATACCGGATTTGGATACAGCGACCCCAAAAACATATAGATATGTAGGTATACTTTGTTGGCAATTGATTCTCTACATTTGACCTTGAACTGGCCTTAAACCAGAGCTAATCGTATTAAACGGACACCGAATTCGGATTCAGCGACCCCAAAACCATATGGATACCATGGTCTTGTCTTTCGGACCAGACCATGGTTTGTGGGGCTGTGTAATTAATTGTTATTCTCTTTTAGGTTAAGTTTGCTGTTCATAGACCAAGCTACAAGTTTATTGAGTATTTTGAAAATTGTGGACCTGACTGACTGATATATATTCTAATCAACAGCATACAAAAAGCCTCTCACAATTTAGCATGCTGTCAAGGTTATTACTGAATAGAAGAGATAGTAGGGGACCTAGGATCAAATCCTGAAGAATTGCTGATCTACCTTCATAGATCTTGGAAGGGTTTGGAAATGTTAAATGTAACATATTGCATTCCATTATAAAAAAATAGGAACGAAGAAAAGTTAGTAATTTATCATTAAAACCGAATATATTCAGTTTTTGTTGTAAAATTGAATTATATATGTTGTTGATTATTGCACTGACTTAATTCACTTAAAGAAACTTCTTTAGTTGCTTGCAAAAACGCATTATGTGCAATGATATGGGCGACTGTATGTAATGAAACCGGTCCTTTAAGGAGCGTCTCACTAATGTTGGCAATAAGTGGAAACAAAGCTAAGAACATCCTAAAGATGTTAAAATCGGTTAGAGAAGCGGAAACACCGGCTTGTAATGGAGCGGGCGGACCGCCGCCGCCTACACTCCCGCCACCGTCTCTCCCGGATAAGCTGCAGATTCCATTTACCAGTCCGAAACTCCTTTATTTAGGTCGTTAAAGAGATACTTGATCCTTATAACTCTTAGATTTGAGCCAGTGGCGGGTAGCATAAACCATTAATCGTTTAACTCACGATATCAAAGTGTACAAACATATAAATAGAATTTTGTAGGCTATGTCTAGGAAAGTGACTATGATTTTCGGCATTTTTCAATATTTTTGCACATTACTCAACATTTTGGGGGTGTTTGAGCTAAACAGACTTCGGATTCGGATTCAGCACGTCAAAATACCTACTGGGTCAAATCAAAGGTACAGACCACTTTTTTGTGTGTCGGTGTAATCAATCTAATTGGTGAGTTGTAACAAAAGCCGGGACGCGTGGTAGTTTATTTGTTAGTTCTCGGAACGGATGGACCAACTCGGACAGTAAAATATTTCAGTCAACAATAATTATAGAAAAGTTAAGGGTTTTCAAGTAGGTTTAGCGTCGTCATAAAGTCGTCGAGAGACTAGTGCCTTTTTGTCACCGGGAGTAATAAATCTGCAAAGCCGTCCTTCGGAAAGGGCCTCATGAAATTTAGTTTGAACAAGTTCACTCAGACCGTCGGGATCATCTGTTAGCGACGGTGTAAGTCCATGGTGAAATCGAATTCGGAAAAAATCGATATTTCTAATAACGCGCGAAGTGCATTCGAAAAGACGTAACGTAGGAATTCCAAGATATTTAAATAAGTTGTTAGAATGTTGTGAGGAAAATAGTAATAGATCAAAAGGCTGGTTTTTAGGCGGATTTTTCAAGCTATAAGAATAGATTAA